ACATAACTTAAAATTTGTTAAGGGTCCTCTTGACAATAAAATATAATTTTAAGTTGATCCCCGGTTTCTACATATGCTGAAGTCAAATATTTTCAAAAGCTTTATTCGATGATATGTTCCAAATGTCATTTGATGAGTAGTAATGAAATAACTGCAAACGTACTTCCAGACTTTCGATTCCAGACTTTGTTTTCATCGAGTAAGTCTTTATCGATTCTGGTTTAAATGCAACTGGTATATTTTCTCATGTCAAATAAGGTATGGCAAATTTCAATTTTGTGTTTTTCTTTATGCGAACTATCTTCCCATCTCCTCGTTAGTGTTTTGTGTTTTGTTACGAACCAGAATATAAATTTCGAATATTTGGGTCATTTATGTTATTACAATGATTTATTAATGGGAGTTCCACAACAGCTATTTCGGATTCCGTTTATTTTATTACCTTTATAAAACTGTAACAAACGTAGTTTTATATTTATCCAGCGGGCTAGATAGGTGTATGACTTATGCAATATTTTTAGCAACACCTACTTATTATGACGATTCAAAATACATTTTTGAAATAATTTTAGATTGGATTCCACCAAAATAAACAACATAAGTATGTATAAATACTCAGTGTGGGATATTTCTATAAAAATACCAGAGGACGAAACTATCACAGAATATACGCATTGAATATTTGTTCGGAAATTGAGATTTTGTCATTATCGAATGTGGACCGGGTGATACAATTTGAAGTAGGTGCTACATTTCAAAAGTACATGTCCTTATTTTGAGATTGTGTCAGTGGGGCGACCTGTTTTAACGGGTAAATGTTTGTATAATTAACTTTGGAAATTTCAATAACCCCATTTAACCTGTTCTTTATTGAATTTTTTCCATGTCGCTCATCAAGCCACCAAGAAGTAATTTCAGGTGAAATTATTTGATGATGTCATTTGAATGATTTTCTGTAATGAGAAATGAAAACCAATCATTTTCATTTCTATCTCAGATGTCATTAATTTATAAAGCCTTTCTCCATCCCAAGCATTGGCAAGTCACTTACATTCTGATGCAATGGCCTAGGTCGCGACAATCCAGTGTCGTAGTAGTGGGACGATGAAAGAGGTTCTTAATGATTTTTTGAATCATTTTGCATATTTTGTATAAATTTCTTAAAGAAATTTTGGAAAAATTATTTTTCAGTCTCTTAGTCTCTCTTAGAATATAGAAAAATGGAAAACTTTTGGAGGATTGGAATAATCAAAGAAACATTTTTTCAAGACTGCAAGGGAGAAATTCAAAAACAGGGTGTTTGTTCAGTTTCTAGTAGTGAGCGTTTTTTCATGAATCGAAATCCTATGGCATCATTCAACATATATGACATGAATTATCATTATAACGGAAGAGATCGATAGTTTCGACAATTTTGCAAACCTTTGTGTAGATAATATTTCAGACTATCCCAACTATTGCTAATGAAGAATTGCAGACTAGTATTTTCGCCCAAAATCCTTAGTCTAGCTTGACATTAGAAGTAATTCTTCATTATGCTTTTCTGTATAATTCAATAACCGTGAAAAGAAGTTGTCGCTTAAGGTAGGTTCTCGATGATCTACCAATTTTTTTGAAGTTTTTCCAGAAATATTGATTATTAATTTTTTATATTTTTTTGTACCAAAGGTGTAGTAAAAAACGATGAAAGAAAGGGGCGCAAAAAATGTTTCCACAAAAATTCATCTCTCCTAAAATTATTTCCCTTTCAATCTATGAAATTGTATTTTCTGAGTCATACTCAGGAGTAAATAATTTTTGTTTCATTCACTTTCACTAACTCCATGTAATTTTTTGGACTATAATTCTTATAACAATTTTCTTCATAGAATTTTTCACAAGCAAGAAGAACTATGTTGATATATAGGTAATTATATTCACAGATAGTAGAACAACTGATCTGTAATTATTTGGAAGATTGAAGTACTGCAGTTCCATTTATTTTGACGATAAGAAAATGTTACTCACTATATCTGCTCTTTCACACCGTCAAATCATTTAGTGTTAGTCGATTCCAGAAGATGAGCTTTATTCATGAAAATTATTTTTTGATTGGTCAGTTACCTTCGAAATGAAAATCTGCACGCTCTTGCTTTCTTACCAATATAATTAATCTTATATTAGCGGATCTCACGACAGGAATTAATAGTAAGAATGATATACGTCAGAGGAACAAAGCGGAAGTTTTCATTCATGGAATTGCGAAATTAGAAGATATTGTTTCAAGATTTATTACATTACTACAGGTCGAAATATTTGCTGAAAGAAAAACCAGTAATAACCATTGATGTGTTTTTAATGGTGATACTTATTTCATTCGTATTATTTATAATTACTTCATTGCTGACATTTTTTGGGAACCTGTTAACCGACGACGCAGATACAGTTCAATGAAGCTATTATGGTAATTCTAGTTCCGCAAATAGAAATGCCTGGGATGCTTGAATAGGTCAGGTTCAAAAAATTTGTTGTATACATATTTACATATTCATCACAGCTCCAAATAATGAATAATTTATGCAATATGTTAACCTTATTACTACTATAAAAATTAATTATAGACATGAAACAGTAGTTGAATCAACAATGCCTGTCATGTGAAATATTAGTCGTTGAGAAATTATAAAAAAAAATCAATTATTATTATCAATTACTGCAAAAATTATGATTATAATAAATAATAACATTTTATTGATTCATTGGAATGAGCTTAAAAGAAGCATATATAAAATACAACTATAAAACAGACACATTCATATATACCACGAATTACTGAAACAAGTGAACAAAGCACCAGAAATGAAAAATAATACAAAACATTTTTTACTAATGTAGATAAGAAAAAAACTCATCGCTTGTATAGGAGCTAATTTCAAAAAGTAGTTGTTTTGTTTTATGTTTCAATACTTGTTCCTTGGTTATAATTTTGAAAAACTCAGCCCCAAAATCTCAAACGCGTTTAGAATTAGAGATAAACGTGTTTTGGATTTGTGAAAATATGTTCAGATGCGAGTATTATATTCATGGAAAGATTGGTTCCGTTTAAAATAATCTTTATTTTCATCTGTCTGTTATTCCGTTAACCGGCTGTCGCACACTTACAAACGACAACCCTCAGAAGTAGAAACTTGTGCGAGCTAAGGATTAACGAGGTCTTACCTTTTAACGTATGAATCCTAACACGGATGTACAACAAAACTTCCAGAATGTAGAGAGCAGGTAGAGGCAAACTTTTCAATTTTTTTAATAATGTTCTACACGATGATGTTCGTGATGCGTTCCCAATGGTTCTAATAATTCTCTTTTGCATTACAAAAATTCTCCACCTGCGTGTGCAGGTGAAGAATTTCTCCAAACAATAATCCCATAATTAATTCTTGATTGTATCTATCCATGGTAATATAAAAGTAGACCAGAGTAGTCTAGAATTTTTTTCAGGTTTCTCAACACATAACACTGCTTATTGAGTATTTTAGTGAGATTATCGCAGTGCTGACGGAAATTGACATTGTTGTCTAGAAAAGGCCCTAAAAATGTTGTACTGTAAACTCTTTCTATTTCAACGCGTACCTATATTAATGTCTACCGTGTTAATACTTTAGGCAGTATGAAAAGCTACTGCTTTCATTTTGGAGGCATTCAAAAATAATGATTTCTTACTGAACCAATTTTGCAAGTTATTACGATCAGAATTTATATTTTGTTGTAATTCAGGCAAATCTTTTGCTTTAAATAGGAGAGAAGAATCATCAGCATACAAACAAGTGAGTGACTTTTGCAAAACAGATGGCAACTCATTGATATAGAGAATAAAAAGGATTGGCCCCAAAACTGATCCTTGGGAAACACCTATGTCATTATTCAACTGATCGGAAAAGAAAGTTTTTTTTATAATTCTCATTCGAATATTGTATCTTGACAGCCTGGGTGCGATTTGAAAGATATGATGCGAACCATTCATGCTGAATACCTCTAATACCCGTTTTATATAGTTTATCTATGAGATTTCCGTGTTTTACGCAGTCAAAAGCACGGCTGAGGTCACAAAAATTCCCAGTGGGATTTTTTTCTGCCTCAACAGACTGTAGAAGATTCGAATAAAAAGAAATAATTGCCGTTGCAGTGGTATGATTCAATCGAAATCCATCTTGGTTCGGAGTTAGAATATTATTGAAATTCAGAAAGTTATAGAAATTCCAACATTATATATTCGAATACTTTTGAGAGTGATGAGGAAACAGCAATAGGGCGATATTTTTCCAAATTATGAGAGTAAGTATTTGTTGAACAAACCCATATCTTATGAAAGAAATCAATGAAGTATTTTTATTGATGTGGAATTGAATAATATGATTTAGGTAAAATCATAATTGAGGATGAACCTTAGGTATATAAAAGTTGAGTAGATACTTATGATCGAGTAAGTACCTGATTAGGTAGTATCAATTGTGATTACGTGGGGTATATAAATAATTGAGTAAAAAATGCACTTTTAGTACGTTTTCACAACAAAAAAGCTACTATGTTAGCCAAACATGTCACGATATTTTGGGTATATTGTGGGTATCAAATTGTAAGGTATATTTTATGATATATATAAGGAAAGTACATCAGTATCTGTGACCGCAGCATAACTGAGATAATCCTCTTCACTAGGAAGAGGAATCTAGGTGGTTTTACTATACTTCCCTTCAATGGTGGGCTTCTTTTGCAGCAGAGATGGAATATCCGCTACATAACAATAACATGAATATATTTTCAGTTTTTCTTTGATTTTCTTTGATTTTCATTCATTGTTTTCTAGAATAGGTTATATGTCACACATTATTCAGAATAGGTTTTCCAATTGTTGTTTTCATAGGAACGACCACCCTGGAGTCGAAACTTCTGATGTGTGATTCCTAACACGAAATACTCCTAAAAAAAATTGATATGTTCTCAATAAATATCTATAAATTTTTAAAAGGGCGTTTACATATGAAAATTACCTTTTCATCACTGTTTCTCTGGACCGCTATATTTCCGAAGGCTGAAAATATGTATGTAGGTTAGTTTTATGTTGTAGATGTTCAGTAAAAAAAGTTTTGATTATTTTCATTCATTTTACAGATATACCAATAGATATCAACAAGTACTCTTCATTTTCTGTTCAGTCATATAATTGTTTCTGAGTGAGAATAGATGTACAGACAGAGATATCTGCTTTCAGTAATGCCATACTTAGAATCGGAAGGCGCTCTCTGTGTATATGCTTGAAGGGACCGATGCAACAGGTGGTAGCTTTGCCTGAACTTTGAACCGATGCCGATTCCATGTTTGAAGGACATTTCTGTCCATGGCTTCGCCTAAGAACACACAGTGGTGCTTTAAGTGAACATTTTTGAATTTTGCCAAGTGAAAGCATAAAAGCATAAGAACTAATAAAAGTATGAAAACAATCGAAAAAATAAAAACAGGAATAAATTAAACGAGTTGGAAACAACGTGAACATCAAAGAAGTTGAAAACCCAACAAAATCGATTAACGTGGAGTTCGTTGAATATTCAAAGGTTTTATTGTACACGGAAAGGAGATCGTTTTTGACGTATCTGAGCGCAGTGTAACACATAGGTGGCTACTGCTGGGGATTGCCGGAGTCCCAGATCTCAAGCCTTGAGTTTTCTTGATGGTTTCTGGAAATAGGATTTCGTTCAGGAGTTAAACCAACTTGAAAGTAGTAAAGAGATTTGGGTGCAACTGTTCTAACCACTAGTATACACAATCTCAGTCGTTGCTAGCGGATATCTCTTATTACTTCACTTCGAGAACTATTCGCCGTAAGTGGATCTCAATTTGTTCACATAAATAGAACCAAAGCGAAAATGTTACGTTTTCAAATTTCTCTTATTTCAAAACCTTCTCACCTCAATAAGTGGGGGCCCTAAAATATTTAGCTATACTTTTCTGTAGTTATTTTTTACACTCATTTCCTCTACCATATTCATTGAATTTCATCTCGAAAACAAATGGCAATAAAACCATTAATATCACGTAGCTCTGACAAAAAATTTCAATACTTTATGCGTGAGGATTCTGCCCATCCTTCACGGTACATTTCAAGGATTCTGTAAAGAGTGTGATCAATTTTGTAACCTTATAATTTCACCAAAAAATAGGCGGCAAATTGGGTTCGTTGCTTATAAGGAATTTGTCCCGAGAACCGGAATCGTTTTTAATGAGTTTACAAATCCTCTGAGCCGACTATCGATTACAATTCCGAAACCGTCAGTGACCATACCAAAACTTTCTCACCTTGCCTGAGGCTGTCTAATTAGAAGAAACGCGGATGTATATCAGAATTAGCTTACGTCACACTATTACTCATCTACTCACGAATGTTAGTCTAGCCCCCATTTGATAATGGTTGGGGTCATTATAACATTCTTTCGCGTTTTTAAAGGTCCCCCTCATTTCTGCGAATGATCATTTATTATTAGATCGATTGGAAAGGGATATTTACCGCATTTGATACATTCACCGTTTAATTATTTTCTTTCTGATTCAATTTCGAATGCAATCTGCCCACTCAAGCGGATATGTAGACAATTGATTACGAATGTCATTTTCCAAGTGACTCCTGGTGGTTTACCGATCACTTCTTAGAAAATGTGAATAGGTCTAAACCGTGTAGGCCTCAATGTTTTTAGATATTTTTGACCGGTGATTAAAATTTCGCTATATCGATAAATACACCGATAAAGAGATTCAGATGGTACAATAGCGAAACAGTAACGAAAGAAGAAAACTTTGAAATATTTTTCCGGTAAGTAGTTTTTAATAAGAAAATGGAAGCAGTTTTTGCTATCTTATATTTTAAGTTGAAGTGGAGACTCTTTATTTTGCTTACAATTCTTCATCCAACTGAAAAATGAGTTGAAATTATAAATAAAAGCTGTAGGTTTGATAATATTACAGCAAATTCAAGAATGTAGACTAAAAATATGGAGATCAATCGATGGCAAATAAAAAAATCGATACCCCAAATGAAATAGTGAGAAATGAATCTATAGAAGTTGCTATTTTGGATTACACCCAATGAATTATACGAATGAAATTCCTTTGGTGCACGAATTGAATGAATGTTTTTTGACAGATATTTGCAACTTGCGAGTGGTTAAATGAATAACCTGAATTTGCTGTTCAATATATGATTTTCACGTGTATGTTAGAGTTTTCTTAACAGGAGTATCATTCGTCATAACTTTCGGAATTGACCTGATGAAAATCTAAATCGGGAAGTTCATACACAACATCCCGAGAAGCTGAGAGTGTCGGCTGGAATTTATGGCAACTGTGTTGCCATATAAGTTCCACGTTGGTGAAAGATATACTTGGTGATCAAAACACGTGTCGAGGTGTTAAAATGACGGTTCGGTGTTGGAAAAACACTCCAGTAATATTCATTACCACACCAAAGGTTCCAAACAGTGCATCACAAGTATTTGCTTACCTGTTTATGACAGAGAATGTTCATGCACACAGTTTGAAGCGATTGTATACACGATGTAGACTCAATTTTGAACCGTACCTAACAGATACGAAGACGATTAAAAGTGAGTTTTTGTGGGGAGATTACAACCAATACAGAAGATGAATTCCATATGATGAACTACATTGAATACTGGAATTTACGACCTCTTTGTTGAATGAACATAAGTTGTCTGTCTATACAGTTCATGTGTCAATTTTCTAGCATGATGGGTGTAATGCTATTACATGCATCTCTAATTTTCTGTTTGAGATGATCGATATATGTTCTAGGTGTCGAGGAAACTGTATCCTTCATGTGACCCCAGACAAAAAATATGAAGGAGTAAGGTCAGGGGATCGGGCTGGCCTAGTAATTGGTCCACTGTTCCCATTTTATTGGAAATATTGCATCTAAATATTTCCTTAGTATTGCTGTTTTATGGGAAGGGGTACTGTCTTGGTGAAAATATTGTATTTCACGGCGGATGTTCAGTGGCATTCCATCTTAGTGACCATCAAGTTGTAGCAAAACACGGGTATTTTTCTCTTTGAGTTATTTAACGTTTACTCCGTTAACATATATTTTTATACATCCTTTATATATTTGTATGATGGGTTGCTTGTCACAGCGATCCTCGGTATGCCTAAAAACCTCGCATCTATTGAAATGTACAGAAAAATCGCCACCGTTTTTATATCGGAAACTATTTTATTAAATCGCGTTCGCAGAGAGAGATTTGTTGAAACGAAGTAAAAGTCTGTGGTTTTTTTGGTAAATACGCATTATTCAGTTTAATATAATTTGCTTGGGGCCTAACAGGTCAAATAATACTTGTATTGTGGCGACTCGTGCCTGCATCTTATTTAGGTAGGCAATGGTAAAGCCAGTAATGTTCTATTGTGAAAATTAATTACATCTTATTTTAGCTGTATATTCGCGAATAACCATCCATTATTGATGCCTGTATTGTTCATTCATTTCACTCCGAATCAGTAAAAGTTCCATATTACAAGAGCAGCAGTCTGATTTTCCCTGACCACCCACGAAAAACCCTGAGAGAAAAACCAGTTCCATTACAACTTGGCGCCCAACGTGGGGCCCAAGGGTTTTTTATTGCTGTCTTATGATGGCCAGCCCAACATATAACTTGAGAAGCAAAGGAGGAATGAATAATCAGGAACAAAGTGCCGAATCGACGGTAAATGGAAATTCCCACCCAAAAAATCATAGGAAAGAACAAGGTAACGATTTTCAAATTTCTATATCAACTCAAGGATATGTTCAACCTACAACGTCATTGCCGGAGGTGTCATATCTGATTTTTCACATCTGGGAGCGACTTCCTTGTCATTTTATGCGAATACCACTTCGGTGCCACATCCAGGGGGAAACATTACAATGAGTACAGTTGCGGATCCCCATCCGGGTTTTAATGAATGTTCAACTCTGTACCAGAAGCAATTAATAGAAATTATTAAAGAAGAAGTGAGAAATACATTACTGGCTCTTCCTGAAATTAACAAAAATAGTAATTATGTTCAATACGTACCCGACTGTAACAATATCAGGGATAACAATAGGGATAGTAGTAATGTAACTGGGTACAATTTTCAATCGAGATTTTACCTTCCTTCAGGTTTAGCAGGAGAACAAAAAAATTTTGGGTTGCCTAAGAACCAAAATTCTCTGATACCAAATTGTAGTCAAATGAATAACAGACCCAGAGAGAATAATTTCTGGGATCTGAAAACCTGTAAATCATTGCCTACCTTTAATAACGAGGGTACTTTACACCCCCTAGATTTCTTGAATTATATTGAAACATTCTTAGATGTCAGTAACGTAAGTTTCAACCAATTTACTCTCTGCATAAGTTACTTGTTTGAGGGACCAGCAAAACTTTGGTTGGTTTGATGCGTTCTCGAATACTTTTTTAATTATCATCAATTTCGGAAAGCTTTGTTGTTGTTGTTGTTGTGAATGAAAAAATTCATGAAAACAATTTTCCTCACCAATTTCCACTTCCCATGACTATGTCAGCTCTTATGAACAAATCGTATCCCAACAAAATAGGAAACGCATTTACCGGATGTCCCGTTACTGTTTGTCAAAATAATTTTGATGTTTGTCAACTGTTATTGTCTTGTGATTTACCGGAAAAAGACAAAAGTTTGTTGAAAGACGTACTACTCAAATATAAGTCGATTTTTTTTGGTATACCGGGGCGCACGAACTGTTATGAACATTCCATAATATTGAAAAATTTTAACGAATTTTTTATCAAACCGTATCCGATACCAGTAGCACACCAAGCGGCAGTTAATGAAACCATTGCACAGATGGAATGTTGGGGGGTGATAGAACGAGCATCTACACCTTACATATCTCCTGTCATGACCACTCTTAAAAAAGATGGTAGCGTTCGAGTTTGTCTTGATGCAAGAGACTTGAATTCTGTTATGCAAACGGATCGTGAACTTCCATGGCGCATTGGAGACATTGTCCGTTCTTTGAATGGAAAAAAGTTTCTGTCAAAGATCGATCTTTCTAACTCTTACTGGCAGATACCTTTGAAACATGAAGATCTAAAATATACCGGATTTATCGTAGGAAATAAAACTTATTAGTTTTGTGTTCTACCATTTGGGATCTCAACAGCGGTTAGCTCTTTTACCCGGGCAATTTCCACAATCTTTGGGGAAAAGTACGATGACTTTTTGCTCACATATATTGACGACTTGCTCGTGATGTCAAATTCGTTCCAGGATCATTTGATACATATGGAGAAAGTGTTTTCAAGGTTGGAAGAAGCGGGCCTAACTGTTAAAGGAGAAAAATGCCGCTTCATTCAGAAAGAAATGCATTTTTTAGGCTACATCGTGAGTCCGTTAGGTATGCGCCCGGATCCCGAGCGAATACAAGCGATATCGGACTACCAACTTCCAAAGAATGTTAAGGAGGTAGAGAAATTCTTTGGGCTTTGTAATTATGATAGGTCTTTTTCTCCCAGAATGGTCGAGCTGACCGCTCCTCTTACTCATTTACTAAGAAAGTCTTCATGATGGCAACGGGGAGAGGCGCAGGAAAAGTCATTTCAAGACTTGAAGAAAGAACTGGAACGGGCTACGTTATTATACCACCCTGATCTGGCTATACCCTGGCATGTCGCAACAGATGCCAGTGATTATGGAATTGCAGGCCAAAGATGGAAAACATACTTGTTGTCGAACAAATTCACATTATATACAGATAGTAGGACGCTCACTTACCTCAATATTTGCCGCCTACTTTCGCCAAGAATAACCCGCTGGTCTCTGGCCTTACAGGAGTACCAAATGGAAATTGTTCATGTTCCAGGACGTGAAAATGGTCAAGTGGATGCGTTGTCGCGTTTTGCTTGTGGACGTTTACCGACCCCATCTGATAAGTGTTTTCAGCTTTATCGATTGAAGCTCTCGAAACTTTTGATAGGTACACTGAATACAATTGTAGAGTACCAGAGTGAGGATGAATACCTCTCAGATATTATAACCAATCTTCCATTAGACCCGGAATTACAAAAAAAGTTCGTTCTCCATAACAATATTCTGTATAAAAGGGGGAACTCGCCTTCCGAAATACTTCTCTGTATACCAAAAAGTATGATAAAAGAATTAATTTTAGGATATCATTGTGCGTTGGGACATTTTGGGGTTTCCAAAGTTTGGGTAGTTTTACGTGATGAATATTATTTCGGTAACATGCAGAGAACAATAAAAAAATACCTAAAACTTGTGATATTTGTCAAAGAGCGAAGATATCAAAACTACCTAACCCGCCGCAGATGCAAATAATTCCAGAATCTAAAAGTGACTTGTTGGCTATCGATATCCTGGGCCCATTGATTCGTAGTCGTGGAGGTACTTCTTATATACTAGTGGTTTTAAATGTCTTCACGAAATACGTGACACTATACCCTTTGAAAAAAGCGACTTCTAGGACCATATTAAATCGACTGACGACTAACTACTTTCCATTACATAGTCCACCTCTGCGTATCTTACATGACAACGCCATCCAATTTACTTCGAAGATTTGGAAAAAAACATTGTCTGACTTAGGCATAAAACTAGTGTTCATATCAGTCAGACATCCCATGGCTAATCCCTCTGAACGCTGTATGTGCGAAATTGGTAGGATATTGCGGACCTATTGTCATGAACGCCATAGTGAGTGGTCTTCAGACATAGCTCTATTTCAGGATTTTTTAAACCACGTCGTATACGAATCGACGGGGTTTTCACCTGCCGAATTGGAATATGGGCAAAAGAGATTAAAACTTTTACCACCGGCTGTTCGTCACCCGGCCACCATGGAAGACCTTCCGCTAACCGAAAAACTAATTCTGGCTGAGGCCACTTTGAAGAGCAAGGCAGAACGTCGTGCTGTCTCTCATCCGGGCCGCCCTTATNACATACAATCAGCAAAGATCAGCATTGTGAGATGTTTTTTGATACCAAATTACACAACCTCGAAAACAGATTTTTTGTAATATAAAACATTTCGAAAAAAGAAAAAAACGGGATTTCGTTGAGTTGGGTTGCCTACCTTTTAATCGGAATTATTGAGTAATGTCTGAAGTATGGTAAAAGTTGAATACATTTTGAAAGAACAAAAAACTAACGACAGAAAAGTAATTGAAAATTTATGTCACTGATGATGCTAGTTGTTTCAATATACGACGAAACTTGCTTTTTCCATTTTTTTATATTTTCCGAAATAACAATTCTATTTGTGAAAAACTAGTTTTCCCTATATAATCCGCAAGAATTTAGTGCAGCTCATACCACCTATTCAAACTCAGCCACATAAGTACAGTTTCTTGACAAAGCCGATTAGATGATTTGGTGATTTCAGGTCAAATGGCAGAAGTGAAACTTTTCTTGAATCTGGAAACTCGATTTGGACCGCAACTGAGAAGACACAAAGTATGTGCTCTGTTGTTTCATCATCTTCTAGAGACGCGCTGCCTTCTGACAGTCCAAGTGGCCTCTAAGGAGACCTTTTAAATATTCTATGTAATCCCTGCTCTAGTCTCATCGTTGTTAGGTAATGTACTCTAAAGTTACCTAACCTAACCTAAATCCCTTGGAATGGCCCAACGCAAGTCTGAAATTCTTCTTACAGTTCAGGTGTTCAATGTTTGTTTGGCAAAGCCTGAAGCGATGCCAATAATAGGTTCTGGTCAAATGTAATGGCCGCTTGCAGCGCCCTTATAACAAGGAAGTCAGCAGATTTATTACCTTCCAGGCCAGTGTGGCTAGGAATCCAGACCAGAGACAATTTGTTGAGTCTTCCTATTGAAGAGTTTATTACCATTTTAGATGTTGCTCGGTGAGAGCTAACAACAGAAGTTTGTAAGTGGGAGAAAAATATTATAGAAACGTTGATCAGAATAGATCATAGTCTCATCATGATCAATCAAAACAACTTTTTTCACAAATCAACTCAAATATGTTTGTGAAAAATAGTTTTTACTGATTCAAAATTTCTGTCTTATTAAATACCTCTTTTCACTTGACAGTTAGTCTCAATCTTCGAAAAGGGTTACTTGAATACTTTTTTTCTGACTATCAATTGACATCAATTAATAATATGTGACCGTTTCTTGTTGGGTAAGTATACAAAATTACTCACAGCTTCGAACCAATCACAGGTGATCAGATTTATAGCTCACTACCTTCGAGCACAATCACAAATGAGCAGTTTCAATCATTTTCAATCGCAAAGAAGCCTTGAGAATTCACCTAATTCAAAATATGTTCTCAAACTTCAAACGTTACAACTGAATTGTCAGTTCTTTTTAGAATATATAGTTTGTTATGAAAAACAAGAATAAAACATGAACTAGAGGAAAAAAGGATGTAACCCATTAAAAATGTATAATTTACTTAACGATAAAGTCAGAAACTTAATGTCAAACTCATTTACATATCATTTTTGTAGAATTTGAAATTGCATAAAATGAAAATGGAGGAAATCTCTTTGACTTGCTTCTTGTTATTGAATTGAATTTTCTACTCAAGTAGATTTTATTATTGACACTATGAATTTGTCCTAATTGGAATCCAATAATCTTAAATACAAAGAAAGATAAAATACCCAAAGAAGGTCAATAAAAAACCCATTTTTCTCCACAAAAACTATCTTTAGTTCAATATATTTCCTGAAGTTAACTCATACAACGTTTTTCGAAATTTTGAAAAATAAACCTTCTCTTGAAAAAATTTAAATTTGACAAATAATGCGAATAAAGTGTGGAAGACTGATTTTTTCTTTATTTTCTATCCTAATCGACGCAGGAATTGATGAAAATTTTCACTGCTGGGTTTGAATCATTTCAAAACTCATTTTCGTTTTTTTGGAGCATATGAACGAAAGTTAGTTTCAATAAACATATACTAATACTAATTAACAGGTCATATTTCTTAGTCTATTTATTTCATTCAATGCGTCGA